CAGGACTGACTCNGACGCANCGACTCGNGACNCCCGTTACGTCCCCTGTCGGTGCCCGTACGGTCGAACGTCGTCCGACGGGTACCGCCCGGGTCGTTACGGCCGAGCCGCACCAAGACGGCCGCCGAAACCGCACCAGTCGCAACGGCGACGGCCGACGAGGCAGAGGCGCCCTCTTCGCCGCCGCAGCAGCAGCAGGCGCAGCCGCCCAAGAAGGTGTCGCGGTTCAGGGCGGCTCGCATGGGCGGGTGAGGCCGAGTGGGCCGTCGGCGGTGCCGGCTTCTTTCTATCAATCCGCCATCACTGCCGGTCCGAGAATAGCACGTCATCGCACCGGCCCGGCGGTGTGCGGTGTGCGGTCAGAGACAGCGATATCGACAGGCAAGGATGTGTTTTTGAGAGCGCCGTGGATGACGAGGAGCGACGAGCGAAGGCAGGGCGGGCGGGATCGACGCTGCTTGTGGAGGGAGGCGCGAGCGACCGAGGTCAGGCAGGCCCACAGCTTGGCGTGACGTGGTGCCAGATCGAGTTGCCGCTTGCGCACAGACACCGGCGGCGCAGGCGGACCCTCGCCGCCTCTTCTGGCTGGCCAGAGTGACTCGGCAACGTGTCGTCCTCTCCTTCCACCACCACCACCACCACCACCGACGACTGTTAACGCCACCATCACCGCCACCCAACTGCCACCGACTCTTTTCCCACCCTCTGCACCGTACAATGTCGCTGCCTCGCACCGTCCTGCGCACCTCGCTGCGCAACCTGCGCACCGCCACGCCCCTCTCGGCACCTCGACTCGTCCCCGTCCTGCCCTACCTCGCTGCCGCCCCCTCCTCCTCCCTCCTGTCCATCCCCGCCGCACCGCCGCGGGCGCTCCACACGACCGCACCGCGTCCCTCGCAAGCGGGCTGGTCATCCAAGGGCGAAGTCAAGTACTCGGAGCTGAAACCCATCACGTCGTCGCCCAGCGGCGAGATTACGCTGATCGACGTGCGCGAACCCTCCGAGGTGCAGGAGGGCATCATCCCCTCGGCCGTCAACGTGCCCCTCTCGACGTTCAAGGACGCGTTCAAGACCGACAGACAGGCGGATGACTTCCAGCGCCGCTTTGCCTTTGCTCGGCCCGCCTACGACGATAAGATCGTCGTCTACTGCCGCAGCGGAAAGAGGAGCCAGCAGGCCCTCGAACACCTCAACAAGCATGGCTGGAACAAGTGAGTGCCGCACCTCTCCCGCTCCCCTCGCTCCGCCCCTCTGCTGCCATTCCTGACGCGGCGCTGCTCTTCGTCGATGGACGCTCATCGGTCCTATCCTTTCTACCCGTCCCATCACCCTCTCGTCTGTGCCGCCCCGCCTTCCTTTGGCCCGCCTCTTCAGCGTGAGGAACTACACCGGCTCGTACCTCGACTGGGTCCAGCAGGAGCAGCAGAACAAGGGTCAGGACGACGACTAGGCGCGGCCGGCGTAGCAATCCCCCGAACGCGGTGACCCGCATCCATCCACACAGCCCATCGATCAATTGATGCACACGCCCGCCCACGACTGGGCCCGCCCCCCAGGCTCATTTGCCGCAGATCTGGACCGTTGCTCGAGCGCCCAACAGCGGCGCGCGCATGTGTTTCAAAAGGTGACGCAGGGGCGGTTCTACAGGACGGGGCGAGCAGAGCAGCCGAGCAATCGTACCTGGCCGCTTCTCCAACACCAGCTCGCGCTCGTGCCCGGCCGCCTATATGTTGGCCTGCATCTGCTTGGCCTGTTCCCTGACGCGCTTCCTGCAGGAGGTGGGAACGAGAGCGGGGCAAGGGGCAATGAGGAGCGACGCCTGTCGGTCAGCGATGGCCGCTCTCACGACGGGCTCGGCCGGCCCCGACCAGGACTCACTCGTAGAGCACCCTGTTCTTCTGGAACTCGCTAAACGCCTCGGCCTGCGCCGGGTCGGCGGCGTTGGGATCGTTGAGCAGATCCTGGATGCCGAGCAGGATCTGCTTGATGGTGATTGCCGGCTTCCAGCTCTTGTCCTCGTCTGGGCGGCGGCGGCGGCGTCGTCCATTGTCGCGGCCCAGCATGCACGCAGGCAGATGGGGGGAGAGCGATGTCGGGGGGATTGAGCAAAGGGCAGGGGTGGAGCGAGGGGCGGACGGGCGGGCGGACGCTGCGCTCGACTCACCGAGGATCGAGAGGCACACGGTGCCCGAGGGGAAGACGTTGGGGTGGTAGAGCGGCGGCGTGAACTTGCCTGCCAGCGGGCGCAGAGAGCGGAGCGCAAGGGCAGCGAACGCAGAGGCAAGGAGGATGGTCAGCTCCGCGGCGTCGCGTCGCGTGGCCGGCCGAGCTCGAGGCGCGGCGGCTGTGCTCACACTTGGGCGGCTTCGAGGGGTATTCTTCCGGGAAGATGAGCTTGAGTTTATACAGGCCGCCCTCCCACGGCGTCTGCGGGGCGATGTTCAGAGCACAAGAGAGAGGACGAGGTGTCAGGACGGGGGCTCCTGGCAAGCTGGTGGCCCGAACCAGGTGGTCGCACGGCGGGGCGAGGGGAAGCGGAGGTACGTACGCCAGTCTTGCCGGGGATGCCGGCCTCCCAGTTCATGAGGTCGAGGGAGCCATCGGCGGCCTTGGCGGGTCTCGCATAGAAGCCCTACAGATGCAGCGACGAGCAGAGCAGAGGACCGATGCGTCAGTAGTGGCGATAGACGCGTGACGGCGAAGAGAAGCAGGCTGGGCCGGGAGGAGGACGCGCGTGGGGCTCACAAAGGGATGGTCCTTGCGCCACTGCTTGCGCTCTTCTGCGAGTCGGTTCCTGCAGATGCCCGACATGGTGCTGTGTGACGGTTCGATACGGCAAGGATCAGTAAGGGATGATGGTGGGTGATGATGAAGGGGTATCGGGCGAGGTGGGAAGATGGGAGGGGGGGACGATGGATCCTTGCCGGGGCGGGGGAGCGACGATGGTGCTTTTGAAGGCGGCCGTGGGCGGAAGACGCCGTGCTTTTGAGGTGTTGCTCGCGGGGAATGGAAGCAGAGGCGGAGGCAGATGCGGAAGCGGAAGCGGAAGCGGCGTGCGGCGAGGCAGAGGCAGAGGCTGGTGTTGATGGTGGTGTTTGTGGTGGTGGTGGTGGTGATGGACAGTCGAGAAGCAGGGACCGATCACCCAGTCGCAATTATTCCGCGAGCGAATGCGCAGCCAGAGGCGCGGGCGCAGGCGCAGGCGCAGGCCCTCTGGCTGTCTGTCTATCTCTGTGCCTCTCACCTTTGCCGTGCTCGTCTGGGTCTGTCCATGCCCTGCCTGCCCTGGCACACAGGTGGAGGAAGACAGAGAGAGAGAGAGAGAGAGAAAGAGAGAGAGGAGGGGCGAGAGAGCGGAGGCAGCCG